GGTTGGTGGGTTGGTAGGTTGGGTGGTTGGTAGGCTGGTTGGCTGGTAGGTTGGTAGGTTGGAAGGTGAGTAGGCTGGTAGGTTGGTAGGTTGGAAGGTTAGTAGGTTGGTAGGTTAGTAAGTTGGTAGGTTGGGTGGTTGGTAGGTTGGTAGGTTGGAGGTTGGGTGGTTGGTAGGTTGGTAGGTTGGTAGGTTAGTAGGTTGGTAGGTTGGGTGGTTGGTAGGTTGGTAGGTTGGTAGGTTAGTAGGTTGGTAGGTTGGTAGGTTAGTAGGTTGGTAGGTTGGGTGGTTGGTAGGTTGGTAGGTTGGTAGGTTAGTAGGTTGGTAGGTTAGTAGGTTGGTAGGTTGTGTGGTTGGTAGGTTGGTAGGTTAGTAGGTTAGTAGGTTGGTAGGTTGGGTGGTTGGTAGGTTGGGTGGTTGGTAGGTTAGTAGGTTGGTAGGTTAGTAGGTTGGTAGGCTGGTAGGTTGGTAGGTTAGTAGGCTGGTAGGTTGGTAGGTTGGTAGGTTAGTAGGTTGGTAGGTTAGTAGGTGGTAGGTTGGGTGGTTGGTAGGTTGGGTGGTAGGTTGGTAGGTTGGTAGATCGTGTGGCTGGTAGGTTGGCAGGTTGGTGGGTTGGTAGGTTGGGTGGTTGGTAGGCTGGTAGGTTGGTAGGTTGGTAGGTGAGTAGGCTGGTAGGTTGGGTGGTTGGTAGGTTGGTAGGTTGGCTGGTTGGCAGGTTAGTAGGTTGGTAGGTTAGTAGGTTGGTAGGTTGGGTGGTTGGTAGGTTGGTAGGTTAGTAGGTTGGTAGGTTAGTAGGTGGGTAGGTTGGGTGGTTGGGTCACGTTAGTAGGTTGGTAGGTTAGTAGGTTGGTAGGTTGGGTGGTTGGTAGGTTGGTAGGTTAGTAGGTTGGTAGTAGGTTGGTAGGTTAGTAGGTTGGTAGGTTGGGTGGTTGGTAGGTTGGTAGGTTGGTAGGTTAGTAGGTTGGTAGGTTATTAGGTGGTAGGTTGGGTGGTTGGTAGGTTGGTAGGTTGGTAGGTTAGTAGGTTGGTAGGTCGGTAGATTGGGTGGTTGGTAGGTTGGTAGGTTGGTAAGTTGATTGGTGGTTGGCTAGGTTTTGGAAAATCCAGCGGGGTGATTAATCGGGAGACGGAATTCTGGAGGACCCTGCGACGAGGACTCTCCCTATGAGCTACGAAAAAGAAGCCAGCTTCTTCGTACCAGGCCAAAGTTGAGATCCACATTTGCCACCTTCGGGCCCCAGCTTCCAGATTCTCCAGTCTTACCTTCAACTCGTCGAAAGCCAGCCTGGCAGGCCCAGCGGTGTCATTTTTTTCCGGAGAGGCCACCACACACGGGGTATCACCGAAAACGGGAACTGTGAGGCAAGTCGAGGTGCGGAACCCCTTTGCGAGGGTACCCGCTTATACGCATCCATGTATGATGGGGATGGGTTCTTGAGGCCTTTTCAGGTTGGCTTAAAGGCAAGGTGAAAGGACAGCCACCGTGATGGTGGGCGGAGATCAACACTCAAGGGTGAACAGATCTCTTGGGTTTCAGTTGGGTGTTATCTTGAGGCTTGGCACCCTTTTGGGGTGGCTCTCAGGGTAACGAGGAACACCGAAATCCATTTGCGGGGTTGGGGTCCAAATCTCTTTGACGAGCCATACCCAGAGCGGGCTTGGTTTTATTGGGCGTGCCTTGGGGTGTTTCCCACCATGACACCCTGGTAAATGGACAGGTCGACAAGCACCGGCGCTAATTTTTTTCGAGCCACGGCGGTTTCAGCTTTGGGAGGACGTGCTGCACGCCTTCTCTGTGCCGTCCCTGGGTGTGAAGACCGACGCCACCCCGGGACGCATCAACCGTGCCCAGGGTCAGGACAGGTGAAGGGGCAAAACCAATGGGATCCCATTTGGGGTAGGTGCACCACCCATTTTAGTCGGGATTTTAGTGGGGATTGGGATGTTCACTGGGGGGTACGGGATTTTGACCCATGGCCATGTGAACAAAGGCCCCCCGAAGAGGGCACGGGCAAATTAGGTGTTCATCGCGGCTTTCGGAGCCGTGCTTGTTCCCTTTGCCTTCCCCGAACTGACACCTGCCAGTAAATAAGAAGGCAATGCACATTTTGCGGGTTTCATATCCCACCTTGACGCCGTTTGCCATGTAGCTGTGGGACTACAGGCAAACGTTTGCAGGTATCAACACCTTCATCCAGCGCGAGGGTGTCTTCTACGGCACCTCGGAGTGAAAGGACCTTGTTGTGGCTCTTGGCTGAAAGTAGATGGATTCCACTGGTCTGTTGTTGAACAAATTGCCAGTGGAACCCATCGATTTTTCCGTGCCCAAAACGCTCCAGGCAGCCCTGCAAAGTCAGAAGTGAACGAGTCTTGGGGAAAACGGGGGAACGGTGTGTAATCTTGAGGGGGGTGGATGATCTTGCTGAGATTTGGATGTATTTGGCGGTCAAGATGGGAATACTGCATGTGCACAGGGTTTACAAGCTTGGCGGACCCGCCAGGCCGTTGCTTCCATTTTGGGTCGAACTTTGCCAGTACCAAAAGGCTCCATGATTGAAACTTAATGTTGGACACCCCCCCCAGAAAAAAGGAGGCTTGTGGACAATTTCTGGGCGTCCCATTTCGGGGATCTAGGGTACGGGAAACACCCGATGAATGATGCCCCTCAGACGCGCCGGTTGGCTACTTGGAGGAGGGAACAGGGGAAGGAAGGGGACTGTCGAAAGGCCAGTGCTCCGAGCTCTGCGGTACGCTCCACGGCTTCATGCCCATTGTCATCGAGGAGTCCCGATCGGAGGTCGAGTTGCCGTGAAGCTCGGGTGAGCCCGTGAAGGGTGCTTTGGAGCCCGGTGGGAAGTGTGGATGTGAACCCCCTGGTTCTTGTAGAGGGCAAGCGGGGAGCCGGCCAGCCCTAACCTCCAGACCACCAATCCATCCAATTGGAGGGAAGCTGACAAGCAGTCCACTGGGATCGGGGAGGAAGGTTATCAACTGTTGGCCCATGAGGCTTTTGAGCTTATGGATGCGGACTTTGGATTTCTTGAAGGTTTCAAGTGTGTAGTCTTTGCGAACTCAAGCCCTCACGCTTCAAGTTCCTATCATCCGCCCAGTTTTTGATCCCTAACATTTCTAGGTTCCCTTCCTTGTGGAGTCTAAACCTCACTTGAGGAGCTCCGCGGCAGCAGCAATGAGATGGAGTGCCAGTTTTCGCAGGAAGACCCTCACGATGGTGGACACATCACCGCGCAAATGATGTCTACCAAAGGGTGCCCAAACAGAAGCCATACACAAATGGCGACGGTGGTATGTTGACTGCGACAGATCATGAGCCAACCAGGGGTGCCTAACTTCCCTCTTGTCCAACAATCATGGAAGTGGAGAGGGGGCTTCGCAAGGAAAGTAGTCTTTCAAATCCCTCCGATTGTGAGCTTCCATGCTTTTTTTTTGCCTCAGGCGGTTTCCCCGGAGACCTACGCCGCGCATGCGCGCAAGTGGTACAAGGAGTGAGCCGGGGACTTCCCGCGGCAGACGGAGCGCGCGCCTGGCGGGCGGTACCAAGTCGGATGCTCGCGGCGATCTGCCGAGAGTTCGGACGGGGCGGCGAGGGGCTGGAGGACCCGTGTCTGGTTCGCAAGCGCGATAATTTGCTGTTTGAAGGTGGAACCCAATGCAAATACACGCACACACACACACACTTACACACTAGTGTGTATCAGCCGTATGTAGGAGCTTCGGTCAATCTGGTGCAGCAAGTACAACTTACTTGTCCTGAGTCGACCTAAGTCAAAGCTCGAGTCACCCTTTTGTGATACAAAGGAAGCCCAAACATAAACCTGTTGAAGGGGGTGCTTACCCATGCCAAGTGTATGTGTTTGGTCAGTTCTGTTGGCTGTCGAGGATCGGAAGTTTGGTGAGAGCTGCATCCTTGGCCAAGCAGACTCTCGTGAGTAGAAATGCTTATCATTGATGCATAGGCTTCAGACAGAATGCAGCACGGACAAAATGCTTCATTTAGACGCCCATTTTCTGGTATATCTTATATCTTCTATGTTTTTCGACGGAGCTCAGTTGGTGAAGCATAGGTACACAATTCTAGATTGCTGCCAGGCACCCCAAAGACACTTTTTTTCAGTGATGCCCCTTGTACCCCGGCCTTGTCAGCTCGCCGCACGTTGGCTTTAGCTGAAGATTCCTGCGCTCCGCTCTGCAAAAATGGGGGGTGGGGGGAGGGGCAGGGATGGCCGCGTCCATACGGGCGAATTGCGGTGGGAAGTGGGTGAAGGGTTGCGGGCCTAGTTGCCAAATTGGCGGACAGGGCGCTTTGATGGTATCTTAGATATTCCTTGGTAGGAGTTTTCAATGGGATCTCATAGGCTTGACTTTTGATGTCAATGTGAGGTTTTGGTGAAACCAGAGATACAAGCCTACTCGTACAAGCCCGCCACATGTAAGGTTCCCGCCCTTCGCTTCAATTGCCCCTGGCAAGAAGGTCTGCCTTAGGTACAAACATGGGCGAGTTTCCTGTGAGGTAGCGGTCATCAAGACAACCAACTCAACGCGCAATTCATCCCTCAAGCAAAATCAAGCCGTTCCATGAGAGGCATAGGCTATAGGTGTTCTTCAAGCCAGCTTGGTTGAGGCTCGATTGATGCCGCCGCTTTCAGCATGGTCGCTTTTCATCTACCGGAATCCATTTGGTCGAAAGACCCTTCCAAACCAGTCGGCTGCATAAGTCCCTGGATGTTTCAACCAAACTTGGCCCATGAGGCCCTTCCGGGAATTTTGGTATCTTGGAACCTTGGGCCTTGGCTCGGGTTTCGTGGGCGGGACGCTTGGGTTTGTGGGATTTGGCCTTCTCTCAAAATTAAGCAGGAGGGGCAAGCCGCAGGTCTTGGTCCATGTCTCCACTTACCGATCGGGCAACCCATGTTGGAATTCCGGTTTTTTTTTGGGGCCACCGCCATTTGAGCCCCTGAAGCCTACGCCGGAGAGATCTCCAGGCCCGGAGGGAGGCGAGCCAGCTGAGCCGCGAGAGCCAGGAGGCGGCGTTTCCGGCGAAGCGGAGCCGAGGTCTTGGAGGAACCAGGGCTCCTCCCCCCGCCTTTTTCTCCTTCTCCTCCCCCCCCCTCCCACGAAAAAAGGGGGGTTTGAAAATTTTCCCCCCACAAAAAAAATCGGAACACTCAAAAGATTCCCGGATGACATATCCCCCCCCAATTTTTTTAAAAAATAGAAGAGGAGCACGTCAGGGTCGGGAGATCTGTCCGCATCTTGGGCAACTCCGGGCCCCCAGTTCCGCGGGCCCAAGGGCTGGGGGCCGCTGTGGCCCAAGGGCCGTGCCCCCGCGACGATGGAAACCCCTGGCCCTTGGAAGACCACGGCCGCCGGGCGGAGGCGAAACAACGCCGCGAGAGATGGGGCCTGTTGGTGCGTAGATTTTTTCTACCGTAAAAACGGCAGGTTGAGACCATGTTTTCGCGCCGTCCAGGGCTGTACTGTCAGGGCCCGAAATCAGAGACACCCATATATATATATACCTCTACGTACAATGGGGGCCTTTCGAGGTTCCACATTCGTAACGATTTTCCAAACTAGAGGACCACACAGGGCGGGCCTCCTTGTGTTCCTTTGGTCATGCCTTTTTCAGCCATTTGGGACTTTTGTATTGGGAGCCGATTCGCAGAGCGCCTCCCTTAGGGCCAGTTACAGGCCGATTCCTGGGTGATGCATCTGAACAGGACGAGGCCCCTCCAGTGAATTGTCTTGGGAGGGGAGATGTGTTGCGTTTTGTTTTGGAACTACGCTCGTGTTTGTTTCTGTTGTTAGCTTCGGATAACCATGTTTGGCTTCGTCGTCCTCTTCACTCCAGCTTTTCCTTGTTTGGTGGTTTGGATTTGTAGTTTGGATTGGTGGTTTGGTGGTTAAGGAGTGACGAGGAAGCTGATGTCACTCACCCGCACAATTGAGGATTGTGCCATTTAGGTGTGTGTTTTGAGGCCCCCAAAATGGTGGGTTTTCCTTTCAGTTTCCCTTGAAACTTACCAAACATGGGTAACAACCAAAAACAAGGCAGAACCTTCTATGTTCACCCTGGTACTGTAGATCTGAAATCAAGCATTCGAGGAGATCGGGATCGATCGGGGCCAGGCCATGCAGATGATGACGGAGATGCGCAAGGCATTTCTGTGGCGGTCGCTCGCTTTGTCGCTAGCGCCCAGGTGACCTCGCAAGTTGGCGTCATGAACTCTCAAAGACCCCAAAAAGGGACCGAATTTGTCTCTGACCGCCCCCAAGTGTTTTGTGGACCAACCCAAAGGTAAATGGAAGCCGCACATCAGGTTCATGGTTGCAAACACAAAGTGCCCCACCAAAGCCGCCCTTTCTGCCACGTTTTGGGTCGCATCTCCGGCTTCAACCACAAAAGGAGAGCCTACGAAAAAGGCTGCCAGCTATTGACATATTCTAAGGCTCAGATATTTTTTTGGAGGCTTCCCAAACGTTGGGCCCCTTGTTTCGTTGACTGAGCTCGGCACCTTTCAGCCTTTCTTGCTTCGGAGCGAGCGCTCGCGGCGCGGAGCTCCTCGAAATGGACCACCGGTGTCTCGGGGAAACTCCGTGGTGTTGGTTTCCAAGGCAAAAAGGAACCCTCGTTTTTTTTTTTTTGTAAAATAGCCCATTGGATTCAAGCTCAAACATCAGGAAAAGACCATGGCTGGTTGAGACCCCTGAGACCCCTTGCGGCAAGGCTAAGCTTCCCGTTCAAACCGCCTCCTCCTGCGGTATTTTTGTTTTGGAGGGATGAGTCCTGGTTGTCCTTGCGGACTCTTCAGACACAGATGTCCCAGGCGCACATCCAGGAGGTGCGGCTTCTGCAGCGGGGCCTCGCCGCGCGGGGCAACGGCGAGATGAGGCGCTGGGGTTTGGGACACGAGGCTCGCGGAAGGAGCGTCACACCACCAGCCAAGTCAAGTGCGTTTTGAGTCTAGTGGTATGTTTTATTTTTAACGCCAAAGCGACAGACCACACGTACGCGAAACGGTAGTTACCAACCTTTGGGGGAGTATTTTTTTGTTTGGGGGGGGGCCGGCCGGCCTACCGGAGGAAGCTGGTGAAGGGAGAGTCGACTTTAATACAACCCCATTCGAGGGTCGCTGACTTGCCTTGATCTACCGGTGCGGGTGTTGAAGGCTTCAGGTGGAGACCGATCGATGGGGGTCAACCAGGCTTGGTGGTCAACCACTTGTTTAACAAGGCCGTTTTCTGCTCAGCCAGCCTTTTTGCTTCTCCAGCCTGGGCCTGTGTTGCCTAACCTTGACTTTGCCCCCGCTTGTCGGCTCACTCGCCACCTGGTCGATCAATTCCTTTGCCCCAAGAGCACTTTGCACGTGCAGAGCTCGCAGCTTTGCCCTCAACAACGTGAGGGTTTCTCTACCTCATGGGTTGGCGGCTGCAGTTTTCCATGATCACCTATTTGATGGCGAGCTCACGCGTGGGGCCCATCATGAAGGATTCCCTTGCGGTTATGGAGTTGTCGCGCATGCCACTGCCAAAAGATCCATGTGGGTCGCTAGGGATGGTCATCAGCCTTCAAGGAGTCTAGACCACCATAAGGAATTCTGTGGGAGCCTGAAGGGAGCCATGAACATGGCAACTGCATGTTCAGAGTGTTGACTTTGGCACGAATCTTTGCATGGAGTTCTTTGCCAGGATGGGGAGCTTGCACACCAATCGGGGGACACGGAACCACGGGAGCTTCCACTGCCAATCTTGGCGCTGGGTTTGTCTCGAAGTGGGGGCTTGGAACCCTCCCAAATGGGTATGGGTCAAAATTAAAGAGCTGGGGGTACGCGGGTTTTAGTCTTTGGTTCCATTTACCAAGGTGCCATTTTGGTACCACTTTTCTGAGCCACAGCCAAAGGGCCATGGAGTTTCTTACGTTTGCTCTTCGGTGCCATGTGCCTGGTGTCCGTTGAGTTCGACGCAGGTGGCAGCCGTTTGCATGCGACTTCGCGGAGAGACAGAGAGAAAGAGAGTTTTGAAGACGGGCCCGCTTTCGCGTCGTCCGCAGGAACAAGGTGAACGAGGTGGATGGACCGATGGGCCGATGGGCCAAGACGGCTTGAGGGAGCCAGGTTTTTCCACAGCTTGGGCAAATCTGCATTTGAGAACTGGTTGCCTCGAATGGTTTTTGGACTTGGAACCCCTTTTTGGTGTTTTTGTTTGTTTGTTTTCTTTTCGGGAAACCCAAAGGCACAGCATTTTGTCCGGTCCCCGCACCTCAAAGACACACACACACACACACCCAACGGCTCGCTCCGGACTCCAGTGGAGCTTGCGTTTTTTTTTTTTCTCGGCGGAGATCCGCGAGCCCGGAGGTGGCGGACCTGGTGGACAAGCTGGGCCGCGCGGTGCTGCAACGGGACGAGAACCTGCGGGAGAAGTCCAAAGCGCAGGCGGGTGGCGAGGGGTGGCGAGGGGTGGCGAGGGGTGGGTCATTTTGGGCGTGGGTTTTTTTCTGGGTGCGAAATGGGTGTGGGTCAAACACAGGTACCCAAAATGGACCCTGGCAAATGGAAACAAAGACCCTGGTGGTTTAATTTTACACCCAAACGCTTTCTGGTGCAACAGGTAGGGTGCTAAATTCTTTCTGGGCGTTTCATGCTAGATACTTTCTGGTGCGATAGGTGGGGAATGACCCGAGTCCGGGTGTTGGGAATGAACCGTTCGGGGACTCTCGAAAAATGGAAACAAGAGATGGTTTACGGGGATCATTCACTCATTCCCTGCTGAACAGCAAGAATTCTCCATGTTCAAAAGCACATATCCAAAGGGAAGGCAGAAACGGATGTCGTTGTATTGAAGCAGAGTCCCCTAGTTAGCCCCCCGATCCAAGCCAACCAAACCCACACGAAGGTATGGGCAAGAGGGGGAGGATAGGGATGGCTGACCCCCACCAGGTTCCTGGTGCGACGTCAAACGACCCACTGGCGAGAGATCAGAACTGTGGACCAACAATACCCGAGTGGCCGTGGCCCAAAAAAAAACGGAATTCCAAACTGGGTTGCCCTGGTAAGTGGAGACATGGACCAAAAAGCCTGCGGCTTGCCGCCACAGCCACATGGACTTTGCTCCGGAGCTGGAGCGACAGGTGCGGCTCGGCAAGGTGGAGGGAGACCTCCGCGCCATCACAGAGGAGTGCACCCGCCTCAAGAGGCGGGTGGGCGGGTGAAGGAAGGGCTTCCCCCGGGGTCCGCCAGCGATTGGTGCCCCTTTTTGACCCCTTCTTTTTTGGTTGGGAGGGAACCCCCCTACTAAAATCGGCTACAGACCAAAAATCGGGTACCAACTTGTTCTATCCTCTGAGACTGGAGGACCTTAGTCCCCGGATCAAAGGCAATAGGTTCGGATGGTTTGAGTCAATGGGCCGAAAGCTTTGCTGCCACTTCCCAGTCGATTCTGGCCGGCTTCTTGGTGCCAGCTAGGGCATCGGGGGCTTCGCCTTGGCGATATCTGAAAAGTAGGGATCCAGATCCAGAAGGCAACGGTCTCGTGAAGGTGGTTGTCCTGGCAAAGGCAAAGCAGCAGGCGCTCCCACTTCTTATAGAAACCGGCAATTGCGATGGCTCGTGGGCTGTATCAATGAGACTTCGTGTTTCCCCATACAGTCGAAGAGTCTTGGTTCAGGGGGAGGTCTTCTTGTTTTTAGCTCGACCAAGAAAGAACTAGCAAAAGCCGTATGTTCAGAAAGTGTACAGGGCTGGCAATGGAGCCCCATGGCTCACTCATGAATTTCCTTTGGTTTCCAGGAGGCACCTCTCACAAGCTTCGCTACATCTGCAGCTTTTCCCGCGGTTCACATGGGACCTTGGGCTTGGACCCCCCCCTTAACCCCCCCCTCACCCCCCCCCTCACCCCCCGCTAACCCCCCCCCCTAACCTCCCTAAACACCCCCCTAACGCCCCCCTAACCCTAACCCAGTTGGGGCCGTTCGTTGGGGCAGCGTAAAAAAGCGGCTGCAGGCAGAACAAGTCCTTGAACGACCAGCTGAAGGAGGCCCAGCGCAAGGCGCCGAGTTGCCTTTGGATCCGGTTGGTCGGTTGGTCGGTCCGGTTGGTTGGTTGAGACCATGGGATCCCCTCGGAGATGTGCTCCAGACCATCAGGGTCCACAGTCGATGTGAGGAAAGAGCTTGTCCAGTGCGGCCTCAGTTTAGACGAAGAAAAGCGGGATGGGCCGGAGATTTGTTGAGGGGCAAGCCAACGCAATTGCTTTGCGGGTGGGAAAGATTTTCTAGTAGCCAGGTTGTGCAGTGTCAATGGATTGGAATTTATGCAGTTCCGAGGGAGGGTGCTTCTCCCTGCGTACAAATGATACGTATTGGACCAGTTCAGCCCTATGACTTGCATACCGTGGCCTTTTGGTTTGCCGATCCTGGAAGTTGCCATTCGATCATTCAAGACTGCGATGTAAAACTTGGTGAGTCCCAGCCATCCGGGTCCTTAGCTTTTCAGCTTTCTATAGGATGTAGTGGGCTGGGTTTCCATGTAACCCACCACAAGTCAATCTTTTCGCAGGGGATCCGAGGACAGCGCCCACTTGTGGCTTGCTCTTTGTTCCGCCGCGCGGCGGAAAAAAAAAAAAAAGCAAAACCCGGCCGGCAGGCGAGATTCACGCCGCCCCGGGTGGACGGCGCGCCGGAGGACAGCGACGAGGAGCGGACGCGGAAGCTCGAGCATGGGATGGCGATTTCTCGCGAGGGAAGCCAAGGGAACCGCCCTCAAGGGAACCGCGCGGGGTTTTTGTTTTTGATTTTTTACACCGGCCGCGTGTTTTTTTTGTCACCGGAGCCCTCGCAAGGGAACTCGAAGGTAATGGGTTCCAAAAGAGAGGCTTCCTCTGCGACATTTTGCTTGGTGGGGTTCCAGGCTCATCTACAGGGCAGAGCTGCAGAGCCAACACTTTGAACGGAGAGGAGCCAACAGGATTCAGGAAAGAGCTGGAGTGCAAAGACTGGTGCGTGTGGTTTTTGAGGGAACTTTCTTTTTTGGGGTGGGTGGGGGGGGTTAAAGGCAAACTAATGGGAACCCACCCCTTTTGTGTGGTGTTCCGAACGTTCCCCTATTTTAAGGCACGCCGAGCTGCCCTGATAGGTTTCCTTACAGACTTGAGCAAAAGGATGATCTATCTTTCATGGACAGCCGTACGTGCTTGGGCTGAGTTCTGAAAGACTGCCCCGCCAAAAGCTTCGCTCCCCTAGGCCTTTTGAAAAGCTGTTGAAAGGGCCAATTGTCCTTTGCATGAACTTTGGCCGCTTTTGGTTTACATCCCTTTACCTCCTTTCAACTTGATTCTCTACCTTTTTGCTACCCAGGTATGTGTTTTACACCCCTTTCTACCCTTACCCTTCTTCAATTTGGGCCCCCTGTTCAAGCTGGGAGCCGCCACAATGCAGCGGACTTGCCTCTTCAGGCATGGTTTTCACCCGTCTATTTGCGGGCTGCCTGGTTTGTGCGCATGCCATCCGGGTGCCCTTTTCCTTTCTTCGGAGGGGGCAACTGCCCCGTCCACATGGAACCCACCAGAGAAATGTCCCTTTGAAAGGACCATGGTCCAGGACGCCCCTGTGAGGTTCCATGTTTGTGGATTGGGGGGTGCCCAAAAAGGGCGCCCTGTTTGTCCCATTCCACCGGAGGTCTGGCATGTGCCCGAAGCAGGAGTCGCCTCGATTCAATCGGCTGGTTTCATGTGGGCATTGCCCAATCTGCCCTCCCCGACCGCCCAAAAAAAAACTCCTTGCTTTCACAGAGTTCCATGAGCGAGATTCCCTAGATGTCTGTGTTTTTTGCTTGAGGGTACCCTTTTTGTGGGTGTGTTCAAGGAACGCCGAAGGGAGAAACCTGAAGCCACTTTGGGGGTCCAAAACACGACCTCCTCAGCGCATCAGCGCATCAGGGGATGTCGTGTTTGGGCGCCCCGCGAGGAGTTCGAGCACGAGTTGCTGGCCTTTGAGCAAAGGCCGGGAGATCGTGGCGATCTCGTGGCTGGGGTGGCTTGCTGCATTTCTGCTGGGCTTTTGGGTGCTTGAAATGATGTCACATCTTTTGACCTCGTGTTTCTTTTGGTGGTTGGTGATGTTTGGATGGGGCACATGAAGAAACGTGTTGGCTCCCTGCGGGAAGCTCGCACCCCTCGGAAATGCGGTTGGTGGCTCATGATTTGAGACCTGTTTTGAGACCGCCCCTATTGGGGTCGACTCGGTTTGACACGCACTGCTGCGTGACCTCTCTTGTGTATTGGTTGAGGTTGGACGCTTGAGGACTTTTTGCCCTATAGGGCAAATCTCGTTAGGGGTGTGCATGCCAGATGCACCAGTTTCAAGCGTACGACGCCAATCGCTCGGCTTTGGCTTCTGTGGCAGAGCAAAGGCTCTCTGATTTAGGCCGTTGGCGAGGTGTGCGCCCTGAAGCAAACAAGCAACCGAAGTGGGGGTTGATCAAAAGGTCCTTGACATGGGATGACAATTGGGGAAAGCCACTGAAAAGATGATCTTTCCAACTAAACCGGAAAAGTTGCCCTTCATCTGGGGCCAAGAAAATTGATTAAAAAAAATCATCAACCCCCAAGTGAGCCTTCAAGGTGGAAAATCGACAGGCCCCACTCTCCCACTTCAGGGATTGTTCTTTCGCCGAAACAAACATCGATCCGCCGAGTCGGGGGCTGGGGGTTGGGTGTAGGTTCACCATCCTGGAAGAGGGCCCGGCCGGCCTGGACATCTTGGCCAGCAACCTCTCCAAGGAGAGCCTCACAAGTTGGGCAACTTTCTTCAGAAGACCCTGGCTTTGGAAAGAAAAGGTGACCCGCAGGAGTTCGTTGAAACCGGGTGTTTCAACATGTTTGGCCAGGGTTGGGCCAACTCCAGTTTGGGGATCTCTCTTTAAAAGAAAACAAAGAGCAATAAACAACTAACCCTGAACTTGTCTTAAAACCTCCATTTTGCACCTCTTGGTGCATGGGCCAGAAAAAGCCCCGCGATTTCCGAGCCAGCCGTCCGCGCCGCTCCAGATAAACACCGAACTGTCCGGAAAGGATCGGGAGGATCCTGGATCCATCCCTACACGCGGAGGGGCTACAAAAAGGCGTGTCTTTGCGTTCTTCCTCGAGGGTAGCGTGTTGAGAGTGTTTAGGGGGAACCGCAAGGGAGAGCGATTCCATTCTTGGAGACACGAGCCTAAGTGGGTGTCTTGTTGATTCCTGAATTCTGTCCACCCACAACAGTATGACTATATCTGAATGAGGAACACCCACAAAGATGGCTGAACAAGATCCGCATGTTCAAAGGGTCCACTTCTACTTGGATATGTCAGCAGGCTGATTTGCAGGATTTGGGGAGCAAACAACAGATCCATGTCACGTGGATCCGTTGATGCCGACGGGGTTTCGACTTGAAACGATAAACCTTGGTATCGCAATAATGATTGTTTTCCACAACCAACAACATGCGGGTGTGTCTGCTTTTGCGGGTACCCCTTTGTTTCTGGTTTGAAAGGGACACCAAAAGGACAGCCCCCCCCCAACAAAAATACAAGAACAAAACTGACGCACGCACCTACCGTGGATGGACAAAATGCTGCACCACTTTGAAACCATGGTGGAAACCATGACGTTTGTTGGTATTTACAGGGGACTTATGTGGATTTCGCAACCGTGCTACAGTATGCGTCTTTTTCTTGGGTGTCCCCCAAGATGGGGACGATCATGTGTATAATATATATTTATAGATATATTATTGTTAGATATTTGGGGCAGGTACGTTCTGGGACCGTGCCCGTGGTGCCCGTGAAGCCCGTGAAGCCCGTGGGCCCGTGTGCCCGTGCCCGTGGTGCCCGTGGTGCCCGTGCCCGTGCTGCCCGTGGTGCCCGTGGTGCCCGTGCCCGTGGTGCCCGTGAAGCCCGTGGGCCCGTGATCCCGTGCCCGTGCTGCCCGTGCTGCTCGTGCTGCCCATGCTGCCCGTGTCTCCACGCGTTAACTTGTTGAAGTAGGCCTAGGGTATGGGGCGGTTGGACTTCGCTGCGTGGGTCTGCCGCTCTTCTACGCCACCTCGACGTTGGCCAAGCTCGCCACTTGGGAGGCCGGCGCAGCCCGTGGGTGAGAGGGCTGGCTTGTCAAGGGATGGCTGCACCATCTCTTCTCTACTGCTGAAAGGGCCCCTCGCAATTACAACGCAAAATCTTATGCGAAATCTTATGCGAGAAACATGTTCATGTTTCCTTAAAGCCTGTTTTGGTCCTTCTCTAGCATTTGCCAAGTCTGAGTTTATTGGTGTGTTTGGGGGACTTGGAACAACCTGGGAGCCCTTTTCTCGTTTGATGCTTGAGCCAGCGGCCTGGGGCCATTTGACTCAGCAGCTGGGCACAAGAGCACAAGCCGACGAAGTTGCGTGTTTTGTTCGGTGCTTCAGTCCTTACTTGTTCAATGACGTAGAAGCCGAAGCGCCACGATGCGTTTTTATCGGTGCGCAGGGCAGCATGCACACAGCTGAGCCAGCGTCCCGGCACTGCTCGGAGTGCGGGGCAGCGCTATCTCGTGGAAAACTGGCAGGCCTTCACGCTGCAGTTCTTTTTCCTGAAGGCTGGCGCGCGGTCAAACATGTGACAAAGAGATGTCGGAGACAGGGGTGCAAGTTTTGCGGCAAGACTATCTTCTACAATTTCATCGCGATCTCCAAGAGTGAGCGGCGTTTTCACTGGACAGCTGGCTCGCTGCAGTTTTTCTTCTTGGATGCCAGGCATGGAGTGTCTGTGTCCTGGCTTCAGCAGATGACCCGCCGCTTGTTCTACCAATATGTGGCGTTCTCTGGCGAGGCGCAAGTGCATGGAGCAGAGGCAAGGGCTGCAGGCTTTGAGGGCCGTGTTCCAAGGCACCCAGGGCTCTTTCTGTTCAAAAGTTGGCTTTATTGGAGATTTGTTCTGCGGCTGCACCAGCACGAGGAGGAGACTCAAGAAGGGCGCTGTGTCAATTTGAGCCTGCCGTTTGCAAAGACTTTGTCAACGGCTCCGTGGTATGACGAACATATGCTTCAGCGGCGACTGGCCATGGCAAAAGAGCGCGGGCACGACCTTAGAGCTCTCGTGGTTGATGGCAACTTAAAACTCAGTGGTCGTGTATGCGGCAGGCCAGTGGCGGAATTGCGACGCTGCGAGCCCTTACAAGCTTACACGGCGGTTCCCTGCTCGTGCCCTCCCGCTCGCAAAGCCCGCCGCTGTGACCTTCATATGTCGAAAGCTCAGGAGGGCCCGCTGGATGATCAGGCTGTCGTTGCGCATCGTCGCTACCGAGTTCTCATGGCTCAGCCGTGTCAGTTTCCGTACGAGGTGCTCTTGAAGTCGGTTGACGCGGTCCTATGCGGCGTTGCGTCGCAGGAGCGTGGAAAATGGGTTTCGGCTGGGAAATGCACGCCGCGGCAATTGGAAGAGTATTGGTCGCAGCAAGAGGAGCAGGGCTTCATCTCTCAGCGCACTCCTGGGCAAGAAGAAGTGTCATGCCGCACAAGCAAAGAGACATCCAAGCAGTACCGGCAGCTTGTTCGTCAGAATCGCCTAGGCGGAGTTCTTTTGGCTTGCACTTCCGAGGGCTTCATTGTCCACTTGCAGCAGTTTGTAGGGGCTGAGACCATCCCAGTGAGATACTTTTTTCTTGCGGAAATCTGTGCAAGGTTGCAGGATGTGCGTTGCTGCATCCACGATGATGCTTGCCATGTGGCGCGCTACGCGCTGAAGCACAAGGGCCGCAACGCCCTTGCCAAACGCCTGTCAGAGCTGGCGTGGGTGTTGGACCGGTTCCATAGTGCCGCCCATCGGGATCCATGGTGCGCCCGTCACTGCCATCCATCAGTGCATCAAGAGCTGCTTAGGGGTCTCAACACATCTGCAGCGGAGTCCTGCAATTCCATTCTCGGCCGCTACCGGGTTGCTTTCAGATCCATTGTAGCCTCGAGCACCCGCAGCTTCTATTTACAGGAAATTGTTGAAGGACGCAATCAAGTTGCCGGTGCTGGCGACAAAGCAAATCGCAAGCGCCGTCGGGAAGAAGTGGGCGCGTGATTCCTTGTCATGATTAGCCACTACTTCGGCGGGACGCGCGCGTGCGTAACCTTGCGGCAAAAAAGGGGTGAAGGGGGCGTGTCCTTGCGTCTTGCAAATGGGCAAATCAATCCCGGCAATGCGGGGCGTTGGCCATTACAAGCGGGGGAATGTCTGGGACGAAGTTTGTCCATATGCGCGCCCAGCAAAACCTTTCAAAGACCAATGTGTAAGTGCAAAGTGCGGGACATGGCGTGCCAAAGTGCAGGACGTGACGCGCTAACATGTGCAGCGCAACATGCGAAAAGTGTGCAGACGACAGGGTCAAAGCAAAACAACGACACCCCGACAGTGAACATGGCTTGTGCACGGGACTGCCCGGATGTAGCGAAAAGATTCTTTGCCAATGCACGTCTTTTATGTAGTACAGTTGCACTGAAGAGGGGAGGCGCGACTTTCCGGCCGAAGCTGCCAAAGTGTTACTTCCTTTACCTCATGTGCTGAAAAGGTGCAACTTTTGAGCTGCCACAGCGTACTTCTTTCACCACACTTGTGCTGAAAAGTTGCGACCTTCGAGATGGAGCTGTCAACAAATGTGAAAACGCACAAACCCCTGTGAAGCGAGAGGGTTACCGCAAAACGATACTGGCTGCCCGATGTTCTTTTCCTGCATGAGGGTCTCATGCGAGCGGTTTCTACGCCTGGATCTACTGCCATGTGTGGGGGTTAGGCTATGTTCTATAGAGACTCATAACCCAACTTATTACTTCTACATCCTAACTTATAATCCAAAGTAAGTTTCGCAAGTCTCTATACAACTTAGCGCAAGTTCTATAGCAACTTAAGGAAGATACGATAGATGTTAGTGTAAGTTCTATAGAACTTATAAGGACTTATCGCTAAGTTCTAGTAAGTTCTAGCCTAAGTTACTTAAGGAACTTAGGGAACTTAGGTGAACTTAGCTTTTTTGCATGATTTTTAGAAATTTAGGCACGCGCTGAAAAAGCGAGCGGGGCTTTTTCCACACAGCCGCGCTTTGCTGCACTGAGTCTTTGCCAGTGTCACCAAGCGATGATCTCGACAATGTCGCCGCGCCGCTGCCACCCAAGAGCGAGGCGCAGGCCGTCTTGCAAGCAGTGCACTTTCGCAGGCGAATCTCTCCGCTGACGCCACGTTGAGAAGGTCGCGGACTTGGACAGGAACTCGAGCGGCGCCACCACAGCTGCCATGCGCTCGTCGACGCGCAGCCCGCAGACCAGGGAGACGGGGACGCCCCGCGCCAGGACAACGTCGTCCGCCGTGTAGAGGTCTTGTTTCCAATAAAACTGATGAGACGCCAGAATGCTCGTGTCGTCTTCGCACAAAACCTCGCCGCGCAGCAGAGCATCCTCCCGCGCAGCGACCGCGATGTGCGCGGATGCGAGAATGCTGCGGGCAAAGATGCCGCGCTCGAACCCAGGGCCCGAGCGCAAGTGCGAGGCGTAAGCTTTGAGCATCCTGTGCTTGCGCTCAACTGGGAAGCAGTCCAAGACCATGCCGTCGCGCAAGATCTGCGGCCCGAGATGATGAAGAAAGTGGTGCTTCGGCACCATGATCTCCGGCCCGTACGCCGCCTGCAGCGCTGCATGGTGGGCATGCACAGCCGCGGTGAAGGTCGCAGTGCTCTCGGCGTTCACCGGCAACTCGCCAAGCTTCAAGCGCTGGTACACGCCCAAG